TCCCTCTGCTGCTGTCTCAGAGGACGCCTGTACCCTTTCCTCAGGAAGTCAGGCTGTACAAGAGTGTGTGCCTGCGAACGCAGCCCGGCGGGACACCAGACGCTGGAATTTCAGACCCTGCTAACCTCTGTCCCCGGGGCTAAACAGCCCCAGTTCTTACCTGTCTTCCTTTCTTTTTTTTTTTTTGCATTGCAGAGTTTGACAAATTTTTAGAAGAGCGAGCCAAAGCAGCGGAGATGGTTCCCAATCTGCCATCCCCTCCCCTGGAAGCCCCCACCCCTCCGACAAACCCTTCCAGCAGGAAAAAGCAAGAGCGCTCGGAGGATGCTCTCTTTGCACTGTGAAGATCGCTCTTAGCCGCCCTCCCACCCCGTGCTCTGCAGGCGAATGTCGCGGTACGGGCACTTCGTCCTCCCACAGTCCTTGGCTAACAACAGTCCCCTTCCCCCCGATTTCATAGATTGCTTCTCCTTCCCCCCCTCCCCAAACTATCCACCCCCACAAGCTGACTCTTTCTATTTAAGTCCAACACTATTCCTGCCAGACCACGATTCTTGAGCACTCGCTTAATCCCCTCCTTCCTATCCCAGCTGCACAAAACCAGCTCTTGATGCTGAAAACCCCTTTAGAATGCATGAGTACGTCACACTGTGTTGAAACAAAAGCCCGGAGGGGAGAGAGCAGCCTTGCCCTTCAATTTATGTAGGGATCATCCTCTTCTGTAGGCAGGTCCTGCCAAGTAGACTGCTCTGTCGATCAGCATGTAATTGACTGAGCTGGAACGTTCAGGAGGAGTGTGGCTTTATTTTTAGATAAAATGTTAATGTATTGGCTTTCGTGTCGGATTCGACAGCAAGGAACAACTGTTCCCCTTTCAACATGTGCTTCACAAGTTAAAATCCTTTACTCTCCCACTCACACATCTCCTGGTACCATATGGTGGTTGCTTTTCCCCACTTTGTGCGGCACTTCATATTCTAAATCTCACAGGGTATTTTTTTCCTTGTGTTTTATCTGGGCTTGCTCTAATTCAAAAGCAGTCTGTTGGCCGTGTCCAGTAGCTCTGGCAGTTGACGGGAAGGAAAAACGCTGAGCTACATGGATGCTGTAACGTTAGTGCACGAAGCATTTTGCTCTTTGGGAGAGCATTCTCACATGAGGATTTTTTCTAGTGTGTTTGCCTTTTAAAATAGCTAGGTTATTTTTTCCTTACCTTAGATTCCTTCTGCAGTGACTGTAGAGCTCTGCGTTTGTCTCAGCTGTTGTAAATAACATCCATGCAGATGGATGGGACTTGCTCATGGACTGGGTGTGAACTGAGGTTCCCGGATTCCCTGCCATGCCGGGTGGGATAGACGTGCTGGTTCTCGGTGGTAGATGTGAAAAAAAGAGGCAAACCTCACAGAGGCTTGTACGAAAATGCTGAGGGAGATGATTACCGTGGAGGGATTAGCCGTGCCTGCCTGTACTGGAGGTGAAACTTCTAATTTCCTTCTAGGTTTGGGCCTGAGAAAGTGTTGGATGATCATGGCCGTGCTATTTGTAATTTTTGGAGTGCCCTTTGATAACTCTGCCCCTTTATGGACTCCCAGCTCCTATGGGGCTGCAGTCTCCCTCCTGTCTGTGCAAACAAGTATATTCCCTTGCTTGCCAGAGGCATGGCTGAGAGTGCTGCTCTTCCTGGAGCTGCCAGAAGGGATTCCAGCATGTGTGCCTGCCTTGCTGGGCTGACAAGCAGAGCCGGAGAAGGCAGCTCCAGCCATCGCTGCGTCCCCCAGCATGTTCTTTGGTAGGAAGCCAGTGGTGCAAGGTGGCAGGATCAAAGAGGGAGCTGAACACTGCATGGCAGGGAGAATCTCCTGTCCTGACAGAGAGGTACTTTATCAGATGAACGCCCATGCAGGCAGCAGCTTTCCAGCCCCTCTTCCTTGGGGCGCTCGCTGTCTTAGGCACCCAGCCACTTTGTTCTGACTTGGCATGTCTGAGCTTCCCAGGATGCTGATGTGTGTGGAGCTCTCTCAGAAGTTGTTCTAGACCGAGAAGCTGTGCTATAAACAGCTGATGCGAAAGTGATAGAAGCTTTTATCTGAGCGTAGTTATTTCAGCTCGTAACATACTCTCTAGGGTACGCCACGCTTTGGTAGGTTGTGACACATAAAATCTTTTACCAAATGGCCTGATTGCAGCACTGTGGTCTTTGAGAGCAGTCACATTAATCTTCGGAGGGAGGCCTTGTTTGGTGCAGGATTGCCAGGCCATCCCAGCCCAGATGTCACTCTGTGTTGTCCCTGCTCATCCTCTCTTCTGTCCTGCCCTGCCCGCGTCCTCTTCCAGGCTCCCTCGATATGTAGCTGGGCGCAGACAAGGCTGCCCTGGCACCCCCCAGTGCTGACTCAGCACCTTGTCGGTGCCCCCTAGCTCACTGCTCCCTGTCAGCTCTGCACTGTGCGGAAGGTAGAATGGCTCGCAAGTGCATGGGAGAAATCAGTGTAAGGATGGAGATAGCTCAGGGATTGAGCTGCCTCTTCTCCCCACTTGCTGGCCTTCTCCCTAGTTGAAGCCCTTCTGTGTGGGTCTGCAGGGGGTTTCTCTCCGTTTCATCTTCTCTGTGACTACTGGAAAGTGCCAGGATGGTCTGCCTTGGTTGCGTGTGTGTGCTGCTGCTCTTGCCCACTGCCCTCGCTGTTTAACACAAGGTGAGCCCAATGCTCAGATCCTGGCTGCCAGGCACCCTGCTGCCAGCTCCTTCCAGACCCAGCCTTTCTGCAACATGTCAGATGTGACCACAAGCTCCCAGAAACCCAAGGAAGCTGCTGTTGTGATGCTGATTTGGTTTCAGACAGTGTCTGGTGATTGCCTGAGCAGTCTTGCCAGCACAGAATGAATTGTTGGTATTCCTCTCAATGCAAAAAGCTCTGTGGGTGTTTTAAGTGTATATTTTCTCTTCTAAATCCTTGAAACACATTGACCCTGTAAATGGCCACATCAGGTGATTCTAAGCATGTTAATCCAGCTTCCCTGCCAAGCTGGAGGAGATAATCGCATTGCTCAAGCGTGGGGACATTGTCAAATGATGCTGAGTGGCACGGATATCACCAGTGCTGTCACCGAGCCCCCCTGCAGAGTCCCACTGCAGAGGATTTGCTGGCCCTTCTTCCCCCACCTCTAATCAAAAAGGAGGGAAGGGCTGTGTGCTGTTCATTCTTCTTTCTGTAATGCTAAACCTGTCCTGGAACTTCCAGGTTGTTCCTTCAGAGAGAATCTGGTCCCTTTCTGGAAGGTTTGCAGAGCTGTCAGTGACTGGCTGGGGAGGAAAAGAGATTAAACCAGAAGGCTGGGGCTGAGGGGAGATGAGCAGCGTGTGTTGGCACGACTCGAGGGAATCTGTTCTGTGCTTGCAACCTCAGGCACTCCGTGGTCCCCGCTGACACCCAACGTTATCCGCTGGAAAGCCAGGGCACTGTTCGCAGGGGGTGCCAGGTGCCGGCGGCACAAGCAGTGGCTTTGCTGGAAGTAGGGCAGCACTCGGGAGACGTCTTCCTCGGGAGGTGTGTGCTCCACCTGGGGCGAGGGCTGAATGTCCTTTTGGTGGGACCCTCGATGGGTCTGGCAAAAGCGCAGCCCTGCCCTGAGTTAAATTCGGAGCCGGAATCCACTGCAGCTGGCTCCTGCGGGCTGAGCACGCGGGGGCTGGAAGCACCGAAGGGGACGGAGCGTACGGCAGAACGGGTGGTTTAGCCCAAACCGTCTTTACCAGGTGTAAGAGCTACCCTAGAGCTTCCCTAATGTCCTGTATCAGGATCTCTCATCTTCCCCATCCTCATGTGGTCTGCAGAAAACCTGAGCGGTGGAAACTGTTTGGGGAAAAGGGAAGGGGGTTTTCACTTCAGAAGACCGGCCTCTCGATTTATTCTTCCTTTGCTTTCACTCTAAGTGCTTCCTCTGTGCAAGTGGGCAGAGGACTTGCGTGGCTCCAACGCTTGTGAGAAAAGGGATGGAGCTGCAGCCTGATCCACTTTCCGTAAGGAATAACATCCCAACACTTTCTAGGCGCATTAGGAATCACAGCTTGACACTCAATGACACTAAATTATTATTGGGGTCCTTTGTAAGTTCTAATCATGCCCTGTTCTAGGTTAAAATATTTATTTTGTCAATATATTTTCTTTCCAGTGTTTTTTAACCTCTTCTGTTAACCCTTCATGTGCTGAGATGTAAGAAATGAATGATTTCTATTTAAATACATCCTTTCGGGTTTTTTAATTGTTACGTGTAGATTTCAGCTGCATCTTTGGCAGGTGTAATAGGTAACAATGTGCTGTACAGACATTTAGGGTGTTTAGTATGTAGGTGAGGCTCATAGGAGAATCACTCATAAAAACGTAGCATGGTGTGTCTTAAAAGGAACAGTGGAGACTGGTCCTTACTGGGACCCTCATGTAGCCTCCAACATACCTGTCCCCTCCCAATTATCACAGCCTCCATCTCTGAAACGCGCTGGTCAAATCAGCCCTGCCATTTCCAGGGCTGTTTTTACACCTCCGAGCTGAAGGAGGATTTTAGTGGGGGTTTCCATTTGTTCAGCTTCATTTGGCCTTGTTTTATGGGATACGTTGGCTGTTTCCACTTTTTAAATGGAGGACTCGGCAGAGCTGGCTGTGGTGGCGAGATGTTTCCCTCCAGTGGTGGAAGAACAGATCCAGGTCGTGGTTTCAGACCCAGGGCAGGGGTGATGGTCCCTCTCCCATAACCTGCCGCAGGAGCTGGGTCTGTGTCCCTCCAACACCTCGGCCAACGCAGCCTGTTCCTGTTCCTCTCTATCCAGTGCTCTCCTGCTTTCAGCCACGAGGACGGGACATGCAGACCAGGAGATCAAACACAGCAGCGTTTTCAACAGTCTTTTTCATCCAGTGAGTTGTCAGGTCTCTTATGGCTGCTGGGAGTCCCATGGAGTGGGAACTGCTTGTGCTATCTCCATCCCCAGGCCAGCCTCGTCCAGCTCAGTCATTGTTTACCTCCTAAATGCTAACCGCAAGGCTTGCGGAGCCTACCCTGGAAAAAAACAGCTCAGGACAGTTATTTTATGGAAATAATGAAGCAGGCAATCAGTGAGTGGATTTATAGCCTTCTTGGAGGTAACCCTTCAGCTGCTGGGAGCACCCACCCACCTTTGCCCCACCAGCAGAGGAGAGGAGGCAGGAACCCCCTTGCCGGGCACCCAGAGGGGTTGCTGGTGCCCACGCAGCACCTTCCACTCGTCCCTCCCAAACTGCAGCCTCCGGAACAGGCTGCGCCTGCCTGCCCCGTCCCCAGGCTGCCAGCCCCAGCCTCGGCGCGCCGTGCTCCAGGCAGGTTGCCCCTCCATCCAGGAGAGCGGCGAGGTTGTGTTTCCTCGAGAGCTGACGGGCTTCCGAGCCGTGCGGAGCTCCGGTGCTGGTTCTCTTTAGGCCATGGCAAACCTTCGCCAAACTTGCCACCCTGCTCTGTGTTTTTATGAGTACGAGCTCCTCATTCTGTACCTGTGACTATGAGCTGTCGTTAACCCTACAAATGTAATCCGTGTCATAGCTTCTCTGTATATTACAGCTGTAGGCTTTCCAGATAAAAGTGGATAATATTTATTTACTGAAGATATTGGATATTTTTTTGTTTGGGAATGGGGTAGGGGGAGAAGGGGGACGTAACTGTTTAAAGAGATCGACTATGTAAAGAGAAACAAAATACACAAAAAGCAAAGAAACCCAACACTAAAATGTTGCTGTATTCACGTAGAAAGTGTTTACATTAAGGATGATACAACTGCATTAATCCACCATTGTTTAACTTGCTCCAGAAATCATCTCTACTTTGGTTCCTGCATGTGAGATACTCCAATAAAAACACTACTAGTGTGACCTGGAGGGTGGTATCCGTCTGTCTGTCAGGTGGCATCTCGCTCTGCTTCGCTGCCCGAGCACATCGTGCGAGTGAGCGCGGGAGACACGCTCGCTCTGCAGCTGCCCTTGGGTGACCGTCAGATGTCCAAACACCAGGCAGGCTTTCGGGAATCCTCCGTTTCCTCCAAACGACAGAGGCCCGGGTATTCTCACTGGGAGAAGGGTTGTCCCCAGTGGAAGATGCTCTTTGT